TTAATAGCTAAATGCTGTTACACCCATTGCCAATTTCTATGATGTGAATGCCATTTAGAAACCTGCTCATTACCAAAGTGGTTTCATGGTGTTAACTCATTTAATCATTTAGCCAAGTTTCATTTTGTGGCTATCAAATGCTGCTCGCATTTTTCACCAGTATCATTAAAATTAACCCAATAACAAGTGGAGCCAGAAAAATGACAAAAATAATAAAAAGGCGATGCTTCATCACAGATGATATTAGCTTTTCTCACTCCCTCTCTCTCTCTCTCTCTCTCTCTCTCTCTCTTTCACTCTCTCTCTCTCTCTCTCTCTCTCTCTCTATCTCTCTCTCTCTCTCTCTCTCTCTCTCTCTCTCTCTTGAATATCAGAAACACCCGAACAATTAAAGTCATTACCCGGCTATCATGTTTATAGTTCGGCTCGCAACCGCCGCCGTCGAGCGAAACTCTAAGCTCCGGACAAGGTCTCATGTGTCCGTTGTGTATGTGTGTGTGTGTGTGTGTGTGTGTGTGTGTGTATGTGTGTATGTGTGGGTGTTTGTGTGTCGCCCAACTGTAACCTGCCACAAAAACTTTGGAAAGCCCCAGCCGCGCTCCAAAGTGCCAGTCCGCCCGAAAATCCCGACCCCATCCAAACGTTTAGCATACAATTAGCCCAAAAGGCAACGCACTGGAAGCCAGGCAAAAACTTCAGTGAAAATTATTAAAATTTCTCATGCTGGGTCGTTGCTCGAAAAGGGTTGACCATATGGAAATTAGCATATGATACCCATTTTGTGGGGCCTGCCCTGCCGCTCTGCTCGTGCCCGAACCCAAGCTCAGGCTGCACACTTTAAGCTTAAAGTCGCTGCGAATTCATGTCTAGTCATGCGGCACGAACTTTAGTGTGGAAAAAACCAAAAAAAAACAGGAAAATAGAAAAAGTCGACGAGTTATGATTTTCCATTTTCCACATTGAGTATTTTTCTATATATTCCCCCTTTTTTTTTTGTCTATTTTTCCGGCTGCTGTTCTTGCTTTTTTCTCAGCGTAAATTTTCCACCTTTTACACATTTTACTTCCATTTGATTAGATCGGCTTTTTAGGGCGACACGTGCGTCGCATGCAGGAGGCAACAGCGGCAACAACGCCTCGCATCCTGTTTTGTTTTCATGACTCCGCCTCCTAAATTGCGTTCGAAATACACTTTCTCTTGAGGGCATCATAACATTGTTGTTGCATTTGCAATACGACGACGTAGGCAAGTAGTATTTACAATGTTGTGGGGTAAGACAGAGTCGTAACTGCTGATCTTTAGCAAAATATCAATGATACATATATTATTCATAACGATTTCAGATCTAACAAACCTTTAACTTATGTGAAATAAAATATAATAAATCAAAATCAACCATAGGATTGTAGCCAGAATCTTCGGAAGCAATCGAGAAAATATTGGACTTATTGTTGTTTTGTAATTATACCCTGAACCCATTAAAAATGGGTACAAGGGTATATTGTATTTGTGCAAAATCCAAATGTATGTAACAGTCAGAAGGAAGCAACTCCGACCCCATAAAGTGTATATATTCTTGATCAGCATCAATAGCCGAGTCGATCTAGCCATGTCCGTCCGTCCGTCCGTATGTATGAACGCAAGGATCTCAGAACCTATAAGAGCTAGAGACTTGAAATTTTAGATGTAGATGCTCCTAGTTCCCGCGCAGATTTGTTTCCGATAATCGATAACTTACTCCGTTTCCAAGCAATCGATAAAAATCGATATCAATATCCTGTTTTTTAGGCAATTTTGGTAAATAATAAGCGCTAGAGTCACCAAACTTGACATATAGCTTCTAAAATAGAATATATATATGCATTTGATGTTGGAAGAAGAGGGTTCAGGGTATCGCCCAGTCGGGAGCTCCCGACTAGAACCTCTTACTTGCTTATATTGTCATCCAAGTAAGCGTATCGCTGTGTCGGCATGCCGCATGTAAAGTTTCATTGTACTTTTTTTTGAAATTCACTTTTTTATAGAAATTTGCACGCTCATCGTTTGAGAGTTTTAAGGCTTATCAGGCCAGGCAGCAACTTAGTCATAATCAACATCAAACAGGCTCGCAGTGTTGGCATCATGAGCAGCAGCTATTATTATCCGGTGTCCGCACTTTCAGCCCTGCCAGGACACTTCTGATCAATGTGCTTAAAATCGACGTGATGTTTGGCTCGTCTCCTGCCGCTGTGCGAAAAGGATGTCATCAGCAGTTGGGAGTGCGTTGCAGCTGCGGCTTGTTGTGTGTTGATTAAAATTTGTTTGTCATTTCGATAAGGTACGACTTTTTAGTGTCGAGTTCCCGGCCCCGTGCCCCTCCCCGGCCAGGCAGTTCAATAACCCAGCCCGGCCGCTGTGCTCTATCTGTATCCAGAGAGCCTGAATCTCAAATGAGGGGCTGAAAGTGCTCATCGTTTCAGTTTTTATGTCATGTTTGAATGTTTTTCTTTTCTTCTTTTTTTTTTTGTTAATTCTTTTGCTCTGCTTTGGCAAAATCACTTGTACTAAGCCACAGAGCTTTAATTTGGCATTTGCTTTTTATGCCTTGTTTTTTTTTTCTTATTGACACCTTTGAAGGCAGCACAAAAATCAAAAAAATAAAATGCCAGAGGGCGAAACACATCATTAGACAACACTTTGTGGGTGATTTTGAAAATTTGAGGGGTGCGTGAAAGATATTTGAGTTGGGGTGTATTTAATTTTCAGCTTCTACAAATGGGGAGCTGCTATGCAAAAACCATTTATTTTGATTATAATGGGCAGCTGCTCTGCGAAGATTTGGGCTGAGTTACTTCAATTTAAATAAAGTTAAAAATTGTATAAAAGGTCTTGGATTTGGTCATGTTAAAATATTTAATATTGTTCATAAAATATGTATTCATTTAGAGTGACAAAAAATACCTGTTGAAAAAGACTCAGAGCCTAGGACATTAGACTTTTAGCTTGAACTTAAATCAAAAAGCATTTACAACGTTTTCTTTGGACAAAATGTGCGTAAAGGGAATATAAAAGCAAGCACATATCATTTACATAAGCCAGCCGCAAATTTTTCTTTCAATATTTGTAAGATTGATTTTTGAACGTTTCACTTGACACACTTGAGTTTCTGTTAACCTGGCAAACATTACCGTCTTTTGTGTGTTGCCCCTTGCCTCGTGCACTGTTGGTTCCTCCTCATCAACGACAACGGCTTTGGCAGGAGTTCATTACAATTTGCTGTAGCTCGACTTTCGATATGCTTTATAATGTGTGCTGATATTTTCTTTTTATTCTCTTTATATTTTTCCGTCAAATATATATTTATTTTTATTTATATTTTTTTTTTAAGCTCATATTTATATATTTTTTTTTTGTATGCTGCATATTTGTGAGTCTCGTCAAACGTTTAGCATATTCTCTTTGTGCTTTTACTGATTTTTCTTTAGCTTCTGCTGCGCATTTAATGGTGTGCCGTGTCCTGTCTTCTTGCTGGTGGTTGTTGCTTACAATGTTGTTGTTGTTGCTGTTGTTGTGCTCATTTTAACTACAAACAGCACAGACAATCACAGTCGCAGGATAATACCAACAGCAAGACAACAGCAACAACAACAACAACAGCAACAACAGCAATAATAATAACAACAACAATGCTGCCAGCTTTGCTCCATTAACAAAAACAACAACAGGCAGCAGAAGCTTCGCATAATTCCATGTAGACTTTGGGCTAAAATGGTCTCAGGCATGACGCTTCGCAGGGCCGGCGGGGAGGGGAGCAGCCCCCCTGCCCCCTGCCCCCACTCAAGTCTGGTTTATAATGCGCGCCGCTTCACTACGCTTATTATTTGTAGCATACTTATTGGGTGGGTGGCTTTTTAAATATGCATAAAGAAAAGCATAGCACACATCTCGGCGCTGTCTGCGGCCTGCGAGCGTGTGGTGCGGCAAGCTCTACGTGAGTGGGTGGTTGGGTGGTTGGTAGGTTGCTTTGGGTGGCAGCACACATATTTGTCTGGGGCTTTGCATTATGCGCTGCGATGTCGTCTGCTCCGGTAGCTGCTGCTCTCTTTTGCGTGCTGTTTTCTTTTTGCCGCTTTCACCTGGCGGCGTCTTTTCTCTTGCCGCTTTATTTAGCTTATTAAAATTTCACTTCATTTTTGCTTTTTTATTTAGCTACGTGAAATTTATATGCCATGCAGCAGCACCATACACTCGTAATTATGTCAATTTTTTCGACTTTGAACTGTGATTGCATTTTTCGACTTGACTCTCGACAGATATTTGTTGACTGATTGGGCCATTTAGCCAATTGGTCGTTGCTTTTGAATGGAGCATACTCAAAGGTATATTTCAATTATTTATCATTCTGGCTTGATTTTTTCATTTGCAATGTGTGCTTGTGCTTTACATGTATGCCTGATATATTAATATAATTATAAGTACTTCACATGCACAACATTTTTCCTAATATCTTAGTTTATATCTTATTTATCTCTATTTATCGTGTTATATTTATTTTTTATACTAATTGTACTAGTTAAGATAATTGAATATTATTTTTTAATAAAAATACTATTAAATCTCTTCGATACTCAACTGACTGAAGATCACAATGATATGTCACACATGCATATTAAAGTGAGGGCAAGAAGTGTCAGGTTGATAGGAAGATACATTCAGATACAGCGAGAGAGAGAGAGAGAGAGAGAGAGAGAGAGAGAGAGAGAAAGGGAGTTTAAAGAACACCGTGATTGAAAGGGTTTCAAGATTTTGATTGGGCACATGCAAATCGCTTAGAATTGCGATCGGCATCGAATGAAATACGATTTAGATACTTTTTTTTTTAAAAACATCTAAAAATGTATTATGCGAACATGAACCAGAAATCTCCATCAAAATAAATGTTGTTAATGTCACAGCAAGAAGAGAAACCACGCGTTTTCAATGATCCAGTTTATTTATTAAACATTTTCGTGTTGATCTTTCTACCAACGACCTCTGCCACCACGACCTCTGCCACCACGACCCCTGCCACCGCGCCTACCACCGCGCCTGCCGCCGTCCCTGTCACCGCCCCAGCCGCCGCGCCTGCCACCTCGGCCGCCACGGTGATGACCACGATGATGTCCATGATGATGATGGCCGCCCCAACCTCTCCTTGTTGTTGCAGCCGTGCTGCTTGCCACAGTGGTGGTGTCTGCCACAGTGGTGCTGTCTGCTACAGTGGTGGTGTCTGCCACAGTGGTCGTGGCTGCCACAGTGGTCGTGTCTGCCACTGTGGTTAGGCATTCGGCATTGTCTACATTGGCAGCTAGCGTGCAGTCAACGCAATTGGTATTGGTAGGATCCGCTGCGCAGGTGACGGCTTCGCCCAATGGAAGATAGGCAACAAGAATGGCCAAAAGAGCGCAGCTCAGAATGATTGTCTTGTTTGTCATCTTGGCTGAAGTGTCTACAATTCGTGAATGATACAATTCGGGCCAATTTCGTGCAGTTTTATAGCATCTCGAATTCTGGAAACGCCCCCAAAATTATTTTTGTTAAGTCTACACAGATGCTATCGATTTTTATTTGTCAAATACATGTTTATGCCATGTATTAGCGATTTTTGGCAGACGTCATAGAATTTATTTTTGAATAACTGAAAGCTGTGACTTAATGAATTTTGTTATTTAATCAGTTGCTAGCAAGCGACATATGACGTTTTCTTATTTACGTTCATTCGAATTGATTCAATCAAATAACAATTAAAGTCCCACTGTTACAACAAAGAAAATAGATTAGGGAATGCCCCATTTAATCAGCTGATTGATAGAAGTGATAAACTTTTGGCCAATATGTGGATTAAAATAAAAATAAGTAATAGAAGATTTTTTAATATAATATACCATCGAACTATATTGTTATTTAAACAGCCGTTCTATGGACAACAACATTTTAAAAAGCCAAAAGCCGAAAAAGTTTAAGTTTACATATTCACAAATACCATTAGAAGCATGTAGAAATACCATTTAAAATACTCCAGTCTGAATAGAGTTGATTGAAACTGAACTTTGCACGTAAGTCAACTTTTATATTCAACAGACACATAATCCCATAATTTCTAGACACTTGCTCATTAAGAGTTCTCGAAAGACATGAACTGCAAAGAGCTTAAGGGCGACCCGGGCAGACATCAATAAGCGGCAATCGAAGCGCCATCAAAGACATAAAATGAACACAAACCAAAAAAGAAAAAAAACAACAAAAAAAAGATCGAAAGACATTGACTAATAACTTATTTATGAACCGAGTTTATTGTTATGACTATGACCCAGGCACAGAAACAGCCCCCGACCAACAAAAACAACAACAACAATAAATAAACACGCTAAACTTTTCAATATTGATAAACTTTTTCTGCACTTTTATGCACACATACAAAAAAAAGACAGTAAAGAAAAAAAAAACCAACGGCAGCCGCTTCCGCTGGCCGCCATAGCACCGGAAATAGCTGCATGCAGACACACACACATGCACACATGCACACACACAGGCACACACACATGTAGAGACAAATGCCATTTACAATTTTTGTACATAAAGCCGCTTAAGCAGCACTCTGTGTGCCCCGCAGCTCCCTACCCCTTGCCCAGCCCAACGACATGTAATTTGTTTTTATGTCTGCCCATATACGTGAGATAACGCGAGGAGCTCAGTCTTTTTGCTTCCTCTTCCTCTATACTTTTTTTTTTGTATTCTTTTCTTCGTGCACACAACTTCGATTAACATTGGCAACACTCAAAGGGAGACTGTGCAGGGCGGTAGAGTGGGGCGCGGTGGGTTAGTGTCCAACCCAAACAACAAGTGGCAGACGACGCGACGCGACGCGGCGTACTGGGAATGGCCCTGGCCGTGAATTCCATATATAATTTTCGACGTGGCCTCCTGTCGCCTCCTTTTGGCATGGCGCAAAGTGAAAAATATCCTTGCCGCGTTGTGTTGCATTTGAAATTGTTCGCTAAAAAGCATCGGAACGTATTGAACTTTACACCCCGAACGTCGGGGCATGGGTAAAAGTTTTGAAAAACTGCCGAGCCGCAGTTGAGAGAGTTGCCATCAAACGGTTAGCAAAAAGTTGAATTTTGGGTTTGGGTTTAAGTTTGGGCTGTGTTCGGTTGAGTTGAGAGTTTGGATTGGGTTCAGCTTGGGGCTGCCAGTGGGCGGGGCTGACGAGTCGAGAGCAGCGAAGTTAGCGCATTTTGACATTAATGGAAGGTTCCTTTCTTTCTTTTTTTTTTTTTTTGTATTTTGCAGTAAAGTCGGAAATACAATATATATTAATATTGGCAGACGTGTTTAGTTTTAAATGGCAGACTTCCAGCTTCTTTTTTTTGCATTTATTTTGCAGGGGATTTAGGCGTCTGGCTGGGTACGCGTACAGACAGCGTAGCGTATTTATAAATTTGCTCTAGGAATGTGTCAAATTGTTTGCATAGCTTGGGCAAAGAACTCGTTTTAATAAAGAGCGTCTATTTTATAAGCGTGCTGACTTCATGTATAGCTAAAGCAAACAGCACATTCATATATGCACATATATATATTATTAACCCCCAAAGCTATTCGAGCTGTGCATGCTTAAACTAGACTGCAAGCTTAAGCTCGTGCTTTGATGTGTCTCGTCAGCGTAACTTAATATTTAAATTAAATTATTTAATAAATAGTAAGAGAATGTCTCTTAGTATTTAAGTTAAATTATTATTTTATGTATAACAAAAGCTTGTATTTTATTTCAAGCTTAAGATATATAAATTTAATCACAGACTTCCTTTTCTTGCTCTAATATGAACAAAAGCCTAATTTCAGTTTTTTATTTCAACAAAAATTGGGTCAGTGGTTCACTCAATGCACTCGCTTTATTGTTTATTCATTAAGTAGACCTAGTCGAAGTTTCCGTATCCTGGAATCATTGAACTCTTAAGTAGAGCCAAGTAATGTTCATTAATTAGAGGGGTTGATGCTGAAAGAAAGAAACTTTTGCCAGCCACCCCGTGAAAAAGTTGAAACCATTTAAAGAAACTTGAGTTTGCTTCACTTTCACTCAACGGGAATTTGTTTTATTTGATTTGATGGTCACATTGCGTGACAGTAATTACTAAATAAATGCAAACATCTGCAGCAGATCACACCGAACCAGAGACGCCCAGAGACGGCACGCCAAGGCAACGAAAGGGATGTATCCCAGGCTCGGTCAGGTTCAGGGTGGGGTTTGGGATTCACAATGGATTTGGGATGTGCGTGCTGCATATATGTTGCGAGGGTGTTTGTGTATCTTTCTAGTTGCTGTTATTGTTGGTAATTCGAGTAGTTCTATGATGCATGCAGCTCTTGATGGATTGGCTTAGACTTGCAACTAGAAGGGGACTGGCGGGAAGTGGCAGCGAAGTTGTGCAGGCAACATACGCGATTGTTGTTCTTGCTGTATTCTATTACATGTGTAAGTTGCGCTTAAGTTTTCCAAGTGCCTTGTGACAAATTTGACAACAGCTGAGACCAATTGCTCAAAGTTCCGCACACCACACACACACATACACACACACAGTTGCACACACTCACTCACACCTTGCCAGAGCCATGCATCGTTTCATCTATCAATCAAGCGATGGCAAACGCAATCATAAAACTGCCATTAAGCCAGGCACAGCCGAACCTCTATCATAAATCTTGAACGTAATCTTTAAAAAACAGTTACGAGACTTCATATCAGCCCTGCCCCCTTCAGCCCACCTTACCGCACTGCCGCTGCATGTTTATGCTATTAACATATTGTTTACTTTACCCAAAAACCAAGCACATTTTCCATTATCTGCATGTGCAGCAGCAGCAGCAGCTGCAACCCCACATTTTCCGCCCTCCTCTCATTGGTTTTGCAATTTATCAAATGTTTTTCGCTGGCGGAAACGGAAACTGCCGGAAGCTGCATAAAGCAACGTGTCATAATGGAGCGCGGTCGGGGTACGCAGCTAATGGCCGCTAATAACGCACCATAAAATATTAATAACAATGGACAGAAAAAAAAAGAAGAAAACTGACGGACATTACTTCCGCTTGACCAATGTCCAGGCAGGCTGGCAGGCCCCAAAATGAAGTGCCTTTCACTCACACACACACACACACACAAAGAAATCAACGCACAGTCGCCTGCCCCCAGCTCCACATCCATCAGATGCCACTCGGAGGCAAAGTTTGCACTTGAAACGCATTGAACTTGAGTGTGTTTGTGTGTGTGTGAGTGTGTGTATGTGAGAAGTGTGAGGTGTGTCTGAAGTGTGTGTGTTGGACATTTTGATTAGCTTTATGCCTGGACATATGCCGGAAATGGCAATATAGGCAGCCAGAGCAAAAAGCAAAGCAAATTCAGAGCACTTGACTTTCAGATATCCTTTGGCATTTCGATGTGTAGTAAAAACCGGAGCCGAATAAAGCTGTTCTGTCTGGCAAAAATTGATATTTCAGCATAATTATATAACAGTGCATTTGTTTTTCATTATTTAATACTACCCCGAAAATAATTGCACAACAGCTATTATTTATATTTAATACAAAAATAATGCAATCAGTATCATATTTTCCTGCAAACTAGATTTATCTCCATTAATTATATTATTTTTAATTAATGGAAATAAATGTTGTTTACGTATGAATCTAAAAAAAAAGTCTTTGGCCTGCGCTCGAATTTCTTTTTGCAATTAATTGTAACTTTAACTTAATTGAATATATTATTAAAATTATTTTATGAGCATTTTCTCTTTTTGTTTTTTGTTTAGAAATCTTTCGGAAATAATATTCTAAATATGTGCAATATTTTTCTTATATAGGTTGAATACCTTGGTGATAAGGATGCTTTCAATTTTATTTAATAACTACTTATTTATTTAATGAAATAATATACACAACGTTATTTTTCCTTTTTTCAATAAAAATATAAATTCGATATTGAACCAGGGCTGGATAAACTTACAATATGACTTACTCTTAGCTATATTCCTAAATGAAATATTAAAGATTGTGTGCAGAGACGAAACTCTCTAAGAGAACACTCCCATAAGACACTCCTCTTGAGTGGACAATAATGACCGCACCACACTGTCGCTGTCCGTTCAAGAGAGTTTTCACTCAATGCATACAAAATTACTTTAGGTCTTAGCGATGGTAAACCTATACCTGGAAATGACTATACACGGGCTTTTGTAACTCGCGACGTCTTTAGCCAGTTGATACGCAGCTTTTCCAGGGTATTCGAGCGAACATTAATGCAGTGGCCAGCTCACAGCTTAACGACCCAAATTGAAATCAACTATTCGACTTATGAAAGGCACTCGATATGCAGCTGGTGCAGGCGCAAGTCCTGCAAAAGCAGGCGACAGGTGCCAGGCGCTGTTCCTGGCGAGACGGTTTA